TCTGTTTTGGCCGGACCCGAGTCTCTTGACCAAGGGGCCCAGTTCTTGGTCGTCCGCATCTGTCCGACGAGAATGGCCTCACGGCTTACATGGACATTGAAAAGCAGAGACTGCCCCTCATGGTTTGGCCACCTTCCTGTGCTCGGTGGTGTCCCTGGTCACACCCACCATGTGGGACTGGCGGTGAGGACGAGCGCTGCGTCCACATAATCACCGAGTCCAGCGCTTTTGCCCCACGTGCTAAGGATGAGCGGGGCAGCCGGGGCCAGGCCTGCAGCCGTGTTCTCAGGGCTGTGTTCTCGGGACGTGGTCTAGCCCTTTCGTGCCTCCGCCAGGCTGTCAATCTGGATGTATCCTGGGCGTGGCCTAACCTACCAGGTCCTAAAAAGGGCGGGGTCTCCATCCAGGTCCGTCAGGGCAGGAGGTCACATGGAAGGAAGGAGCCCATCAAACCTGTGTATCATATGAAAAATTAAAGTAATCAGCCTGTACACAGCCCTCCTTGGGGTTGGGTCCAGCTGGGGTGAATGAATGTTACAGGTGGGAACAGAATAGGAGGTCATGGGCTGCCGAGTTCTCACAAGTGACTCTTGTGTTTGTCTAGGCGACTCGCAGGCATTTCCGTCGGGGACCTCCCAACCTGCAGATCAGAGCCCCCAATAAAGACTCAGAAGAAAGGAGGCTGGATGACTCCCAGAGGCAGGAAGTGGTGGCGGACTCCACTCAGCAGGAAGAGCACCCCCAGAGAACCCTCGTCAGGTACTGGGGGCACCAGTGGGCCGGTGCATGGGACATCTCTTCTGAGAGACAGCAGAGTCGTGTGTGTGTCTAACGTACATTCCCCTTATGAAGCAGACAGTGTGCCCTGCTGTGTGCGGAGCTGTGGCGAGGGGGGGGGGTCCTGCCACCTCCTGGTCCAGCGTGGAGGGCATGGCTGAGCCACTGCTGGGTGGCCACTCAGGCACCTGCGTGTCCGCCCTGTGCTGGCTGACTGCTCCCCCTTCCCTCCCGGTAGCTGGAGGGGAGCTGTGATTGAGCCAGAGCAGGGCACTGACGTCCCCTCGAGAAAGGCAGAGTTCCCCACCAGGACTCAGAACCAACCAGGTAAGGCCGCACCTGCGCCCCTCGGGTCTCCCTGCACGGACTCGCAGATGAGCGTCCAGAGCACGCAGTGTAGCCTTGCTGTCCCTCTGACACTGGTTGTCCTTCGACACCCAGTTGGTCCGCAGGTCCTTGCAGTCACACTTCTCAGAGCTCTGGTGACGACGTGGCTCCTTGGAGGCCATTGTCCCGAGCCCAGGGCTGCAGACACAAGAGGCATGCGTGTGCAGGGGGCTCATTCTCCTGCCTGTGTCTGGTCCACAAGGGGCCTGGGGATGTGGAGACACAACTGCCCTTTGGCCTCTGCCCCTGGCTGGAGGGGCTCAGCGGCTGTGAGGGTTCCCGCATTCAGGAACCGGCGGTTGGGGGCCTGCTAGGTGCAGGCTGTCTGCTTGGTCTCATGATGCTCTTTGAGGTCATCAGTCAAGTGTGTCCCCATTCCCCAGACAGGAGAACTGAGATTAGGTCAGGAACCACCAAGGCCATGTCCCTGGTGTGTGGGGATTCGCACCAGGTCAGCTGAGTCCGGGGCCCAAGCTGTGACCTTCTGGTCCTGTTGCTGGCACCTCCCTGGAAGGACAACGGGGGAGCCCAGGCCTGTGCGGACAGAGCGATGGTGTGGCGTGAAGCAGGGATGGCAGAGCCCGGGGGTCACACAAGTAGGCCTCGGTCTACACAGAGGGGTCTCACACTGTGACGCTAGGGACACGCTTTCATGGACACGGTCACCCTGCATGTGTGCTCCTGCCCTGTGTGGAGAGAATACAGTTCCATGTGCATGGAGGGCACCGTGCGTGGAGAGGCGTCGGTGTGCCTGTTCCAGGGGTTTCCTCTGCAGGCGCCCAAACGGGTCCTGAGATACCCAGGGTCTTGTCTGCGTCACCAGCAGCTGTCATGGTTGACATTCCCAAACCCCAGTGGCCCAGCGCAGCACTCTGGCTGCTGCTGGTTCGCTGCCTCCAGCTCCTTTGCCGGCCAGGTGCTCCCAGCAGCCCCCGAGGGTCCCTGCTGGGTGCCGCTGGCTGTGGGTGTGATGAGGCCGTGCGGGTGCAAGTCCGAGCTGTCGTGTGAGGCCCTGGGCAGCCGTGTGCAGCTCCGAGGGTTTGACCTCTGGTGCTGTCCACTGCTGCCCCATGGCCTGGACATTGTCCCACGGGTCATCAGCGTTCCTACTTCGGGGCCCTGACCACGTCCAGGTCACCACAACCCGCTTCTCCTTCCAGGCCCCCCAAATGAGCGCCAGAAGGCCGTGGTAGATGCCTTCCGCCACGCCTGGGCCGGGTACCGCAAGTTCGCCTGGGGCCATGATGAACTGAAGCCTGTGTCCAGGTCCTTCAGCGAGTGGTTCGGCCTCGGCCTCACGCTCATCGACTCCCTGGACACCATGTGGATTTTGGGTCTGAAGAAAGGTACCTGTCACTGTGTTCCATGCGTGCAAGTGGATGAGCCTGCTGGGGTCCCCGTGCTGCTGTGGCCACCGACGATGGGCTTCCCTTCTCCTGGGTGACTCGAGTAGACATGCAGGGCGTGGGCACTTCCTTTGTCACCTTACGTTCAGGTGTCCGGGGACACTCTGGATAGCTGAACAGGCCCCTACCGAGAGCCGAGTGTGGATGCTGGTGGGCGTCGCAGGGCATTTCCAGCCTGGGTTTCTGCTGCAGTCGGGAGATGGCCCAGTGGCGAGAGGTGGCACATGATCTGATGTAGCTGCCAGCACCCTGGATCTGTCCCTAATGTCCTTATGCCACACAGATTGGCGCAGACTGGGGTTATACATTGTCAGTTACTTCTAACTGATGGTTTAAACATTTGTTGTAAGTTTCTTGGGCAGGTTGAAGACCCCTGTGGTCCTCACGTGGTCTTTTGTGCCATGGCCTGTGATGGCCGACCCCTTTGCTCACGGCTGCATGGGCTCTCCCCAGCCGCATGCTGGCCCATGTCTGCACACCTGAAGACTCAGGGCTCACACCCTTGCACTAGGAAAGGACGTCGACCCCTCAGGAGAAAGCCGGACAGGACAGGATACACGTAGCCCCAGAGCGACAGGCCATGGGATGCTGGAACCATGGGCATGTCCTGTACTCTCCTGCTTTGTATCATAGAGTTTGGAGAGGCTAGGCGTTGGGTGTCCAAGAAGTTACGGTTTGAGAAAGATGTGGACGTCAACCTGTTTGAGAGCACGATCCGGATCCTGGGGGGCCTTCTGAGCGCCTACCACCTGTCTGGGGACGCACTCTTCCTACAGAGAGCCGTGAGTGTCCTGGTACCAGCGTCGCCTTCTCCCCCGGGACATGAATGTTGAGCACGCCAGCATTTCCCCTTTGCTACAGGGATGGGGTGGGGGTTCCAGCTCTCTCCCCTGTAGTTTGGGGGGATTTCAGTTCACTCCCCTGTGGTTTGTTTGCCTGTTTCTGGGCCTGTGCTGAGCCGAGCACACTGCTTTGGCCCTCTGCAGCCGGCAGGCGACCCATCCCCAGCTCACTGCTGCGGCTGTGAGCATCGGGCCACGTGAAGCCAGCAAGCTCGCATCTGTCCCCATACTTGGATGAGAGTGGGTGGTGGGTTGGCATGGTGGACTGTGGAGCAGGCTTCTTTTCAGCAATCGGTGATCTCTTCCCACACTGTGTGTCAGGAGGACTTTGGGAATCGGCTGATGCCTGCGTTCCAGACGCCCTCCAAAATCCCATACTCAGACGTCAACATTGGCACTGGCGTGGCCCACCCACCCCGGTGGACATCTGACAGCACGGTGGCCGAGGTGACAAGCATTCAGCTGGAGTTCCGAGAGCTCTCTCGTCTCACGGGCGTTAGGAAATTTCAGGTATAGGGCTTCTGGGGGCTTCTGGAGGGGTCCTGGCTCGTTGCAGTAAGTGCCGGTGTGTGAATGCTGCCCTGGGCTGGAGACCGCTGCCACCTTTTTCCTTAGAGAACCCCGTTTCCTCGCCCTCTGCCCTGGCCCTGCCCTGTGCAGTCCTGTGTCCTTGGGCCCCCAACAGAGCTCATGGCTTGTCACCCAGAGGTCTGGGCCTGTTTCGACCGGGCTGTGTGTCTGTCCCAGGGCCGCCTCTGTCATGGCTGTGTGGTGTTGGGAGTGTCGAGACGCTGGTGTTTTGTAGCCAGTTCTGTGCTGGTGACATCGTGGTGGTCCTGATGGGCACTTGGATCGGGCCCCAGTGCCTACATGGGCTTCTGTCCTGTGGGGACTGCTGGGTTGGCATCGCGGGCATGAAGCCACCCTGATGTGTGATGGGGCGGGCACATGGTATGTGGGGTGAGGGGGTGTTCTCATCAATCGTTCGCTAACTCATTGCCCTAGTGTTGAAACGTCTGTCACTTAATCTGGTTCCCTGTTGGCTACTCTTCTCGTGGGTGAACTTCTGGGCTGCAGCTTCCATTCCATAGGTGTTTTTGTCTTTTTCCTAAATTGAGAAAATTCACATATCGAGAAATGTTGCCTTTCCTCGTGTATGTTGCCGTGTCCTCACGTTTCGTCCCCACAGTAAATAAGGCAGCGCCGTTAGCGGTCCCCGTCGTATAACTGAAATCCAACAAACATGGGACACGTGTGTCTGCTTTTTGTCACTGAGCACCATGCTTTCAAGGTACATCCAGTTGCAGCGTGGGTCAGAATCAGCCCTTTCGTGGCCAGGGCGGGGCCCGTTGTGTGGTCAGCCCCCGTGCTGCCCAGCATCCGCCAGCATGCGAACACTGGCCGGGCCTTGGTGTGGGGTGCCAGGGCAGTGTCCCTGTACTGAGGCCCAGCAGCACAGGGGCCCAGTTCCTCCAATCATTGTTCTCGGTTCTGAGCAGGCTCGTGGGTGTGCAGGCTTGTCTCTGGGTTTGGTGTTTTATGTGTTAAAGACATGCGGCCTCTTCCCAGGGCTTATGGGCCACCTGTTCACCTGTGTAGAGGTGTGTCAGGCCCCTTGCCCAGTTACTGATGAGAGTAGTGGTCTTGGCGTTGTCGAGGTGGAGTGAAAACGCAGCATTTGGCCATTTACTCAGTAGACACCTGTGGTGCCCCATGTTGCTGGGGCTTTGCAATCAGTCGCTGGGGCTGGAAGAGAGAGCACAGCAGCCCACCGGAGGAATAATCAGTCGGTGTGGGGGGATTTGTGGGTAGAGCCCCAGAAAGCACCCCATGCCGGGTCCTGAGCACTCTGATGAAGTGTGCACAGAGCCGCAGGAGCACAGACACGGGGCACTGCCCAGCCGGGCCGGCGAGCCCAGAGCAGCTGAGGCTGGTGGGTTCTTGAGGGATGAATAGGAGCTCATCAGGTGGTCGCTAGCAGCAACCCTGGGCTCCGAAGCGGACGTGCCTGCCTTCCCACAGGAAGAGGAGCAGATGGCCATGTGGGGCAGGGGTCCCAAGGACCTTGGCTGTGGGCTTCAGACAGTGCCCCAGAGTGGGGGCTGAGAGCTGCCAGGACGACAGGGGCCGCCCTGTGGTCAGGCCTGTGGCGTGGGCCCCTGTTCTTCAGGGACTCCTGGGGAGCGGTGGGCTGAGGAATGGCGCAGCCAGGATGCCACTGGGCATGGACCGGCCACAGGCAGCGCTCACACGGCCCTCACTCACGCGCACTCTCCCCCTATCTGCCCAGGAGGCTGCGGAGGAGGTGACGAGGCGTGTCCACTCCCTGTCTGGGAAGAAGGACGGGCTGGTGCCCATGTTCATCAACACACACAGCGGCCTCTTCACCCACCTGGGCGTGTTCACCTTGGGCGCCCGGGCCGACAGCTACTATGAGTACCTGCTGAAGCAGTGGATCCAGGGCGGGAAGAAGGACACGCAGTGAGGCCCCTTCTGCCACCTGGGCACATCCCTGGGGCTCCGCCGGCCCGGTTCTTGGTCAGGTCCAGCAGCCGAGCCGGGCCTGGGCTGGGCCTTGCCACGGGGACCTACTTCTCAGCATAGCCACTATGCCAAGGAAGGGGCCTGGCCGCTCGCTGAGCTCCGTGCTCCTCGGTGCCAGGCGGGACCCCAGCTCCCGGCCGAGATGTCTTCTGGGGTCAGGGAGGCAGCTCTGCCCGCCCCCTCCTGGGGACACGGAGATGGCTGGATATCTGGGCCTCGCTCTGCCTTCACTTTGCTGCTTAGCACATCCACGGTCCCAGGTGGCCTACAGCAGCCCGTGCACTTGAAAGTGCATATAAACCCTCGTGAGAGACCTGAAGTGGCCTGAAGTCTCCAGCCCAGGGATGACTGTGACCCCAACCGCTGGGGCGGGGGGGGCGGTGAGGTGGGGGGCACAGCTCCAGGCTGACCCCAGGGCGGAGACAAGAGCATCACCACCAGGGAGCCTGCCTTACCAGGCCTCTGGGGGCTGGTTGAGGGAAACGTCCCATTCAGGGAGCAGAAGGCAGTGCCCTCAGCCCTGCGGGCTGACCCACCATAGGCCTCCCCCCGAGGCTGGCGTGGTGCCACCCCAGACAGGGCCAGGCCTGGCGCTAACAGTGCGTAAACGACCCCTCAGGACTGTGTGCCCTTCTGGCCTGAGCATACAGGATCTTCTGGTCTCCCAGGTTACTTGAAGACTACCTCGAAGCCGTGGAGGGAATCCGAAAGCACCTGCTACGCAAATCTGAACCCAGCAAGCTCACCTTTGTGGGGGAGCTCACCCATGGCCGCTTCAGCGCCAAGATGGTGAGCATGCGCGTGGTCCATGCAGGGCCAGGAAGCTGCATCCACGGACTTGGCCTTGTCGCCTGGGGCTCCATGAGTCAGGATGAGGAGAGAACAGTGAAAGTGTGGCCAAAGAGCGTGAGGTGTCGCGGGCAGACATGGGCTGTGCCGCCGGGGTATCGCCTCCTCTCCCACTAGGACTCTCTTCCTCCCAGGGTCTCCCTCCCCTCCCTCCAGGGCCCAGGCCACCTCGCCCAGCGCTCCCCTCCTCCGAAGAAGGACCCCCCCCTGCCATGCTCCAAGGCCGCTCCCCTACCCCGCCTCCTTCCCCCTGCAGCTGGTGCTCCGTTGGTGTTTGAAGGGTGGGCGGAGACCCAGGTCAGCATGTGCATCCCCGGGATGTGGGTACCTTCCACCAGCTTGTCTGCCCGTGTGAGACCCTGGTGCTGGGCCTGTAGTCCAGTTGCCGGTCCGGAGGCGGGGGAAACAGCTCAGGCCTGTGACGCCCACACTGGCTCAGTGGTGAGGAGACCCCCTCCCATTCCAGGACCACTTGGTGTGCTTCCTGCCAGGGACGCTAGCTCTGGGTGCCCACCACGGCCTGCCTGCCAATCACATGGAGCTGGCACGGGCGCTCATGGACACCTGCTACCAGATGAACAGGCAGATGGAGACGGGGCTGAGCCCCGAGATTGTGCACTTCAACCTGCACCCGCAGAAGGCCCAGAAGGACGTGCAGGTCAAGGTGAGCGGGCAGGCAGGTGGGGTGGGGCGGGGCAGGGGTGATGCCACAGGGCCTCACGGAGCCTGTGCCCCCAGCCAGCCGACAGGCACAACCTGCTGCGGCCTGAGACGGCGGAGAGCCTATTCTACCTGTACCGCCTGACTGGGGACCGCAAGTACCAGGACTGGGGCTGGGCCCTCTTGCAAAGCTTCAACACCTACACGCGGGTGAGGCCCAGCTCCTCGCTGCTCCCTTCCCGTGGGGGCTGCAGCAGCTCATCCTTGGGGTTCAGGGCCTGTGTGACCCAGGGCCTCGGGTCAGGCATCCCTCCCTCCTGTCTCAAGGGACCAGCCAGGCGGGGAGGGCCCGACGTGGGTCCTACTCGTGGCCTGGGCAGCTCTCTTCCACCCAGGATGACCTCAGGGCCACTGTTCCCCGAGACGGGCACCATGACCATAGCGCTGCTTCCACTGCGCTCAGGCCCAGCTGCCCGGTGGAGCTGACACTTGACCTTTGCCCTCTGATGTGTGAGGCGCCAGGTTCTGGACCCATTGGGTGACCTCAGGGCCTTTGTGAGGCCTCTGCAGGGTACAGTGCGTGGCACTTTCCACCAGTCACTTGAGGGCAGCTGGCATCGCCTGGGGTGTCTATGGAGGAGCCGTGGCAGACCTCCGGGGCAGCCAGTCCCCTGGTGCCCTCCACCCCAGGGGCCATGCTGCTGCCGTGGGGGAGGGGGCGTTGCTTGGGGGTGCCTCTGGCCGGCTCCCCATCCGAGGGCTGAGCCTGGATGTGGGGAGTGGGTTGTGCCTGCAGCTGTGATGCTGTGGTCCCGGCCTTTGCAGGTCCCCTCGGGCGGCTACTCTTCCATCAGCAATGTCCAGGACCCCCACAACCCCCAGCCCAGGGACAAGATGGAGAGCTTCTTCCTGGGGGAGACACTCAAGTACCTGTACCTGCTCTTCTCTGACGACACGGACCTGCTGAGCCTGGACGCCTACGTGTTCAACACTGAAGCTCACCCGCTGCCCATTTGGGCCCCTGCCTAGGAGTGGGCGCTGCCTGGGGCCTGTCGTGCCCCGTCCCGTCAGCAGGACCCTGGCCCTGGCTAGGTCTGCCCTCCTTGACCTTGGCTGTGCAGTGTCCGCCAAACTGGCTGGATGTGCTCCAGACTGGTGACAGGCCAGCGGACAGCTGGGCCAGGATGTCTTGGGGCTCGTGAGCTGCTGGGGCGGCCGCTGGCCCTGGGCTCTTTGTCTGTGGTTCCCATGGGGACATCGTTAGGGACAAGGAGGAGGAAACCAGCGCTGTGGTCCAGCCTTCCTCCTCCCTGAGAAAACTCAAATCGTGACCTACATTCCTGAAACCTGGACATCCTCCTGTCAGCCAGGGCTTCCTGGGGGCCCCGGGGACATTGGGGTGCAGCTCGCCTCAGGGTCGTGGCCTGTGAATGTGTGCTGACCTGAGGCCTGGGGGCGTCTGTGGACACCCCTGACCCGAGGTCATGGGGATCCGAGCTCCTGGCTGTGTGTTTACGTGTTGGACTCAGGGACCCTCCCTGCCCTGCCAGGGCTGGGAGGGGCGAGGGGTGGCTGGCGAGTTCACCCCGCTCCCAGGCCACCCGGACAGAGTGGACTTTTCAGTCGGGATAAAAGGAGATTTGCTCTGATTGGTGTCTCCCATGTGTGCAAGCATCTGTTTCCCAGAAGGTCCGGGTTTCAGAACTGGGGGCAAGTGGTCTGGGCCCCTCACTGTCCACAGGTCAGCACCCTGCCGTCGCCTGCAGGCGGGAGAGGAGGAAGTGTCAGTACGGCGGGGTGGGTGCTGGGCTCTGTGGGGCCTGGCCTGCCCAGGGGACAGGGGGGTGCCTCGGTGTGAGTGGCAGTGGGCCTGGCCTGGCACCTGCTCCCCCCTCCAGCCTGTGGGGGTGTCCTCTTCCTGCAGTGTAACCTGCAGCGTCCATCCCTTAGGACTGATCTGGGGCAGTTTCTGGAAAGAAGAGAAACCTGGGCCCTGGCCGGGGGTCCCCTGCCCTCTAGGACCAGGTGATCTTGTAGGACAGGCCCAGCTCTCCCTCCGTGTTAAGCTGGCAGCCCGTTGTCCTCATTGTATCTAGAAGATGTGTGTCCCTCAGAAGCCAGGGCCTCTGAACGCCCAACAGGCCTGTACAGAGGTCCAGGCTGCATGTCAGGCAGAGCCTGGGTTCTGGATGTGTCCCCTGCTGCTCCCCATGTTCAGGTGACCTGGTGGCAGCTCCTCGCTCTCCAACAGCTGCCCCAGGCCTGGCTCCCAACCCCACACACCCTATGCTTTGACAGGTGTGCAGGTCCTGTCCCAGAGGTGGCCTCTTGTCCCAGCCTTGTGGCTGCTGGCTGCCCGCCTGCACAGTCCCCACAGCTGGAGGGCGTGTCGTGCTTCCCGCTGGCCCCTCCTAGCCGGGGGCTCTCAGCAGCCATGCAGCAAGACTGACAGTGACAGCCCACCCCAGTCCACTGGGAAGGGGGGCCTAGGCAGCCCGGAAAGGCAGACTCCCGGGCCCCCAGCAGGTGGACTGGGGGGTGGCAGCATGCTGAGACAGCCCCTCAGCGGGGCTCCCCGGGGACGCTCACACAGGAGAGGGCAGGGAAGACAGGTGGGGAGTCTTGGCAGCCTCCCATTTCTTGGTGTCACAGTTCAGCTGGCCACGTGAAAGTTCACCCCCCAAAGAAGCAGACTTAGCGTTGACGATTCTGTTTTATTAAACGTGGCCAATTTGGAGAGGTTGGGCAGTGTGTTCATCATGGCATGCTCCCTCTCCTGCAGGGACCACAGCTGACACAAGGGGCTGGGCCAGGCCACCAGACATTTATTCAGCCCCTCCCTCAGGCAAGGCCCTGCTGGGCCTGGTCACTGGTGGGTTCAGGAAGATGGGTGTGGGCTCCTCATCCTGGCGTGCTTTGGAGATGCACCCCTGTGAGTCCTCTCGGGTCCTAGCTAGGGGAGTGCCCCTTAGCCTCTGAGCCCCCAGGGCCACGTGCGCTGCAACCGCTGCTCACGCCTGGCTGTCGCAACCCACTCACGGATGATGCTGGCCTCCAGCTCACGTGCCTCCCGGACAGACGTCGGGTCTTCCGGGTGGGACGCTCTGAGGAACAGGCACGAGGTGGGGGGTCATTCAGTATGGAGGCAGACGTGAGCCCCACACCCCCCAGTTCATGTCCAGCCATGGGCCCAGGCTGAGTGCAGCGCCCCCTCCCAGGGCAGGACCACACCTGAGGTCCAGGTGATGTGCTCCCCCGTGGATGGTGATGGCCAGGACGGATGCGCTCAGGTTACTCCGGATCTGTGTCAAAGGACACGCCCGTGTGGAGTGCGAGCCCCACGCCAGTCAGTCCCTCAGCCCCGTTGCATGTCCAAGCTATGGGGTGCAGCTAAAACCGTAACTTGAGGTAACTGCATAGCCTGGATTGGCTCCATCCCGAAGGATGGGTGAGCCAGAGGCCAGTTCCCATTAAGTCAGGAAAAGAATCAGAAAGGGGAAAGGATGAAATAATGAAGACGTGGATATCAGCAAAGGCAAAGTGGGTTCCTGGAGAAGATTCTGTGAACCCACAGAGACAACCCTACACAGGACACCGTTACCATCTAACAAGGCTCCAGCAGGTCAGCCCTGAGCGACTCACCCCGCCCCCTGCCCAGGGGTCCAGGTCACCATTGGAGAAGATGATGTTGCTGGCGGCTCTGAGGTCTGAAAGGGACAGAACAAGTGGCAGGGGGACGGCACGGCCACCAGATCTGGGAGCTGTGGGGCAGATCAGACCACAGTTCCCCCGGGAGTGGAGAGAGCAGAGCTGGCTCAGTGCAGAGGGAAAGACACTGCCCCTAACCCCATCCTGAGCCTCACCGGCACCCCCGAAGCTGGTATGCAGCCAGTCCCGCCGGGGCCACACGCCCCACGTGTCCAGGCAGTACTGCTGGCGGAGCGCCTCGGTGAACGGCAGGTCCGGAAAGATGTCTGTCACGTTGTTACTGGAGAACGTCAAGCTGATCTCGGTGCAGGCCTGCGGGACACGCCACGCTGGGTCAGGCTGGTGGGGCGCGGCCCTCGCTCGGCACCCATCCCGGGCAATCCTAGGCCTCCCGCCCTATACTTCGTAGTCTCAGCCCCCATCCCATCCCAGGCAGTCCCGGGCCCCCCATCCCATACCTGGTAGTCCCAGGCCTTGGCGTCGGAGCCCAAGCCACAACCTGTGGGGTCCGCACAGGCCTGGTACTGCCGGTAGATATCGTAACAGGGCTCTGTCCCCGAGGAGTTGTACACCAGCCCTGGGGGAGAGGGGTGCTGAGGCCAGGCACCCAGACACTCACCCTGCCCCCTCAAGGGGTCCTGCAGGCGTCAGGGGCTCTGGGGTCTCATGTCCCAGGAAGGATTTGGGTCCCTAGGGTGTGTACTGTCAGGTCCTGCCTGCACCTTCCAGAGCCCCTTGGAGCAGTGACCCCCAGGCTGGGCCAGGAGGGGGATGGCCATTTCCTACCTAAAGACCATGGCAGGGGTGTCCTGGGCCCTGAGGTCCCCCTGGGCTCCCCGCCCCCACACACCCCTCACCCACTCCTCAGGCCATCTGCCCCCACACTCAGCACCCGGCCCGGGGCTGAGAGACAGACGCACCTGCCAGCGCTCGGAGCCCCTGGACCCTCTGGCTCTCACTCAGCAGCCGGTCACAGCCGACCTAGGGGTGCCAACAGTCACAGCCTGCACGGTGAGCACAAGACGCCCACTCGCAGCCTGCCACCCCCTCCCAGCTTGTCCCTCCCTGGTCCCAGGCCCCAGTGTGGGTGGCGGCCCTCGGGCGGGCCCTTCCCTGGGCATGGGGAGAGGTGCTTCACCTGGACAGGGTTGGCAGGGAGGTGCCCCATGAAGTCGGTGGGGTACGGGTAGTCCATCATGGCCAGCACGGTGAAGGCGTTCCGGGCAAACCCGAAGAGCTGGGCCAGGTCCTTCCAGCCCGCGAGCAACCGGCAGGTACCAAACTCCTGGCTGACCACCTCGTAGGCTGCCAGAGGGGGCAGGAGAAGGGCCTTTGGAGGCTGCTGACACAGAGGGGATGGGGGGAGGGGGGGGCAGCCTCCTCACCTCCCTGGAGGAACAAGTCCTTGATCTGCTGGAACGCGTCCCTCACGGCCTGGGCACACTTAGGACCCTGGCCCTCAAAGTCCTGGAGAACAGACTGGCTGTGGTGGCAGCCCCCATGCCTGGGCAGGCTACCCCCCCACCCCCAGGCCCTCACTCGCTCACCGCAGACACGTCCCGGAAGAACTGGTGGGAGTCGCCGAGGCCCGCCACTGCCACAACAGGTGCACTGGCCGCCAGCGCCCCCGCCACGAGGTGGGGGTACTTCATCCTCAAGTAGGCACTGAGCATCCCCCCGTAGCTGGTCGGGGCACAGGGTCAAGGCTGTGGCCCTCCAGCCATGGCACCCGCCAGCCCAAGGGCCACAGCAACTCGGGCGGCAGCCTGTCACCAGCCGGGCCTGCGCCCCCAACACCTGCTTCCCCTTGCTCTCCTCAGCCCCCGGCACCCACAAGAAGGACCTGAAGTGTCCAAGACCCACAGTATTCTGGCCCCGGGGCCAGGTGCGCGTGTGTTCCTTGGAAAGGAGATGGAGAACTCACCTGCCGCCGAAGGCGATGGCCGGGGCATCCTGAGCCCCGAGGTCCCGCCGCAGTGCCTCGATCAGCCTGGCAAAGTCGGCCAGGGCCTGCTCCACGGTCAGCAGCTCTGTGTGCCCGCGCCACGTGGACTGCTCGCCGAATGGCAGCGACTTTCCGTAGTAGCGCTGTGGGCGGGCGACGGGCAGACACTGACCCCATGCCTCCTCTCCGCCCAGGGGACCGCAGCGCTGCCCGCTACCCGGAGGGTACCCACGTGCTCCGCAAACACCACCAGGGCCGCCTGCTGCACCGCCAGCTCCAGGATGAACCCCGAGTTGTTGGCGAAGGACCATACGTCGCCTTCGTTGCCCGTGTAGAAGAATATGGGCCCCTCGCCCCTTTTCCAGAACTTGTCTGTTGGGTGAGGAGTGAACTTGTGCGTCCCAGGGATGGGAGTGAGACATGGTACAGAATGCCCCAGGGCCAGGCACCCCCAGGCGACCTCACCTGACACCAGGAACCTCTGGCGGAAGGTCTTGTTGCCAAACCTCTCAAAGTTGAAATGGTCCAGAAGCTGCTCAAAGTAGTCCTCCCGGAAGTCGGGGTCTGGGGCTCTGTAGGCTGGAGGGCGCGATGCTCAGCGGATGTGGCCCCCAGCGGGTAGCCGGGGGAGAGCCCGCAGGTCGGCACTTACCCGCGGCCTCCAGGCCGAGCAGCCCCAGCGCCAGCAGCAGGGCTAGGGCCCAGGGCAGGGCCAGCCGTGCCCAGGGGCTCATGTCTGCTTTGACCGGCAAGGGCGGGTCACATGACTAACCGGGAAACAGTCACGTGACAGCTTGCGCAGGACTGTCGGCAGGGCTGGCCCTTCCCTCCCGCTGGCAGCTTCTGTGTCATTCCGTTCCTTCCTCAAGCTTCCTGGCAGCCATTGTGTCACCACGGAGACGGTTGCCATGGGGACACATGACGCAGGCTGAGGGCTCAAGGACCTGGCACTGGGGCAGGGGACGTGTGTCCAGCCGTCTGTCTCCCAGTGGCCACTGCTGAGGGCCTAACCTGCCCCACACCTCCCTGCTGGTTGCCCCTCCCTGGTCCTCCTCGAGCCGGGGGCCGGGTGGGCAGGTCACCAGCACACACCTAGGCGGGAAGTGACCAGCCTCACTGCCCAGACCCTCCCAGGGGGGAGGGGCAGCTCTGAGGGTAGGGCAGGGAAAGCCTGTCGAGGAGGGAGGGAGCCTTGGGAAGATGGGGGTGGCCCGAGGGTCCCACACAGAGGGCAGCGGCCCTGAGAAAGGAGCTCTTCCAAGTGACAGCAAGGGGCTGCATAGGCGGGAGCGTGGGGGGGGGGGGGGAGTGGCCAGGAGCCCAGCCTGGGGTGTAGGCGGCCAAGGGGGTCAGCCGAGGCTTCTGCTGGGAGCTGGGACCCTCTCCCCTCCTTGTCTGGCTAGTCCATTCACTGGCTTCTCAGCGATGCAGGGGCCCCAGGACCTGCCAGTGCCCAGAGCATAGAGGAGCCACCTGGCACCTGGCACCCAGTCCAAGGCCTGGGTGAGGGGGCCAGACCAGTAGAGCTACCCCTGCCCCAGGCTGCAGAGGAAGGTAGCATTACTAGTCCCCACTCCCAAAGACTGTCCCCTGGCCAGTGTGGCCCCTGGTCTCTGCCCAGGCCCGGCCTGTCTGATGCTGGGACGGCCCTGGGCTGGGCTGGGGTGCTGGCCTCTCACTGCAGCTGGGGAGCCCAAGACCCCTGGCTAGGCTGGGGCTGAGTAGGAGGACTGGCCACTTGAGTCAGCCCTGTGGCTGTGCCTCACACGGTCCCAAGACCGTCACTGAGGCAACCAGCTTGGTGACAATGACTGTCCATCATGTCACACCACCCTATGGGTGTGGTCACTCAGTGCCACACCACAATCATCCCACAGGCCCTGTCCCCATCCCCATGTGATGTCCCCTCCATCCCTGTGACCCCATGTCCCAGTGTCCCTGTCCCTGTGTCCCCATGTCCCCATGTCCCTCTGTCCCTGTCCCCAGGGATCTGTGTCCCCGTCCCTGTGTCTCCTTCCCTATGTCCCAGTGTCCCCCATGTCCCCGTGTCCCTTTCCCTTTGTATCTACCCTCGTATCCCCGTCCCTGTGTCCCCATGTCCCCATGTCCCTGTCCCCGTGTCCCCATCCCGTATTCCCGTCCCTGTGTCCCCATGTCCCTGTGTCCCCGTCCCTGTGCCCCCATCTCCATGTCCCCATTCCTGTGTCCCTGTCCCCATGTCCCCATGTCCCCATGTCCCTGTCCCTGTGTCCCCCTGTCCCCATCCTCATGTCCCTGTGTCTCCAGGTTCCAGTGTCCCCGTGTCCCTTGGCCCCTGTTCCTATGTCCCCGTACCCCCACCCAGGGCTGCCTGTGTTAAGTAGAGAGCTACCCTTTGAGGGCCCTCATGGCCTCTGCAGAGCAGGAGCGGGACCAGAGACAGGGACTTGCAGCACCTTGTCCCCAGATGGCAGGCTGCTCCCACTCCTGTCCCCTCTCTCAGCTCAGGAGCCTGACCCCAAGCCCCCACCGCAGACCCACCATGTTACCCCCTCCGGACCCTGCAGACTCCACGCCCGGGGTGGCTCCTGGAAGACCCACAGGTGCATTCTGATCTTCTCTCAGACTGTCCTGCTACACCTGGTGGCCCTGAGCGTGCAGGTACATCTGGGGCTCCAGAAGCCCTCCTCCCAACTGCCTGGGGCCAATAACTTTGGGGACAAGGCTGGGGTCAGATCCTCCCTTCACAGTCCACAGATTTAGGGAGCCAGGCCTGTTCCCCACCACCACCTGCTCTGCCCCTTTTATACCTTAAAGCTGCCAACAACAGGGGTGAGAAAATGGGGTGGGGAGACGCTTAAGTAGGCCCTGTGCTCTCAGCTCTGACCCACGCTGTACCTGCAGGTATGGCCATGCTCATGTGTGTGTTGAATTATATACCTTAGTGACTGGTTTGAAATTCACTGGTTTTAAGTACATTGGCAACATTGTGCAATATCATCATTATCAATTTCCCAAACTATCTCATTATCCGAAAAACCACCCACTTAACAACTCCCACTCCCCTTCTGCAGCCCCTGCTAACCTGGTCCACGTTCCATCTTGATGAGTTCGCCCACGGGGACCTCATGTATGTGACTCCGTTGTGACAGCTCGGTTCACTTGGCACAATGTCTTCAGGCCCATCCACATCCTGGCAGGTATCTGACGGCATAATGCCCCATTGCATATAGGCACCATGTTTTTCTCATGCATTCACCCATCGGGGGACATTAGGGTAGTTTCTCCTTCTGGCTATTGTGACTCACTCTGTACGAGGACAGACGCGAGCTTGCTGGCTTCACGTGGCCTGACGCTCAGGCTGCAGTAGTGAGCTGGAATCATTGACTGGGAACGGGTCCCCTGCTGTCGGCGGGGAGCCTAGCAGTGTCCTCAGCTCAGCACAGGCCCAGAAACGGGCAAACAAACTGGAACCCCCACCCCCACCAAATCCCTGCAGCAAAGGGAAAACGCTGAGTGCTTCATACTCACATCCTGGTGGCGAGGTTGTCTGTCAGGGGGCCTGGCGGAGGCACGAAAGGGCTAGAGCCATGTCCCGAGAACACAGCCCTGAGAACACGGCTGCAGGCCTGGCCCCGGCTGCCCCGCTCATCCTCAGCACGTGGGGCAAAAGCGCTGGACTCGGTGATTATGTGGACGCAGCGCTCGTCCTCACCGCCAGTCCCACATGGTGGGTGTGACCAGGGACACCACCGAGCACAGGAAGGTGGCCAAACCATGAGGGGCAGTCTCTGCTTTTCAATGTCCATGTAAGCCGTGAGGCCATTCTCGTCGGACAGATGCGGACGACCAAGAACTGGGCCCCTTGGTCAAGAGACTCGGGTCCGGCCAAAACAGACACCGTCGCTGAAACAGGTCTTGGGGACGGCGCTGAGCGGGAGAGGTGTCCAAGGGACCTCCGAAAGGGCCTCACCCCTGATTCTTGCACCAGAGGCATGGGGACATTCACCCCTGACCATGGAGGCCCTCCCTGGACGCCACAGATGGGACCGTGGGTGTCACGACCATGGGCCCGCGACTTTCTAGGGCAGCGTGCTGTATTCTGGTTTCCCGTGGTTATGAGTCCGTGTGTCAGACAGCGGCCGAAAGAAGCCAAGGGAACACTGGTCAGCTTTATGCGAGGAAATTCATTCTCTGCACACAGACCCTTGAAGAGGCAGCGGGAAGGCGGCCTCCCGTCTCCCCCGGGGCAGCCCTGCAGGACGTGAGGCCAGCACTGGCCCAGCATCCTCTCTAGCAGCGGCGCCCACATCCACACCTGAGGAGGGACGGAGGGAGTCCCCAGGTGCACAGCACCCCGGTTCTCGGAGGCCATCTCCCGGGACCACCTCTCTCTAGAAGGGACGCTTCCTGGTCCCCTGCTGGCCTCCTGACTGCCCTCTAGTCTCCATGGCCCCTCGCCTGCCCCCACCCCCACTGTAAGGGTGGGGCGCCCCAGGACTAGGCCTGGCTCCTCCTCCACCAGGTCCCTGTGGGCTCCCACCGCTGACTCTGATCCTGACACCACCACCCACATCTCCTGAGGTCCCAGGCACCTCACACGGCTGGGGCAGGTCCAGAAGGGAGCGCCCGAGCGTTCCCAGCCCGCTCCCTCTCGGCCTCCACGGCCCCTCCCCCGGGGAACCCTCCCTACCCTCACAGGCCCAGTCCTGCCCAGGCTGGCTCCAGGCGCAGGCTCTCCCAGTCCAGGCAGCTGGGCTCTGCTGCCTCCTGCCGTCCACTCCTGACTGTGCCGCCGTCTCCACCCGGCGCCCAGAGAGCCTTCACAGGGACAAGCTGACATCCTGCCCCAGCTGTCATCTCCCACGAGGCCGACTGAACCTCCAGTGCTGCCTGCGCCCCAGGAGGACTCACGGGGCCCGGCCTGCACCGACCCCTGGCCCCGTCCCCGTCCAGGCCCTTGTGGGATCCCAGCTCCCTCCTCAGACTGCAGCTCAGTGTCCTGCCCTGACCGAGGGGCCCAGCCCCAGCCTTCTCTCTCAGGGCGTCTGCTCTTCTCCTTGTAGGACGCCACGTGGGCCACTGTTACTGTTTATTCCTGGCGTCTCACCTGCCTCGCCCTCCCGCCAGCCTGCAGCCCCGCCAGAGAAGCCACGGGCCTGTTTCCTTCTTCACCACCTCAGCAGCAGGTGCGCGATGAAGAACGAAGGGAAGACTATCCCTCCCTCCTCCCCCACGCATCGTCCACGCAGCCCAGAATAACGAGTGAGGGGAGCACACCAGACCTGGGGAGAAAAAGAACTCTTCCCAGGCTGTGGGAACACTACGTGCTGTTCCGACGCTTCCGGAACGGACCCCGCATACAGCTGCACCTACAGCTCATTGGAAGTACCTGAGGCAGCGCCCCCGGGACTTTCTCTGCGTTAGCCTCTGCCTTCTGGGGAGCTGGCAGGACAGGTGGGTTTGCTGGCCTCATCTTCTGCTCTTCCGCTGACCTGACGTTCGGGGCTGAACAGAGAACACGTGTCACCTCACATATCCCACAGGGCTTACGGGAGACTCCAAGTGCTCACAGACGACAGCCATACATCAAAGGACGCCAGGACACCTCGGGAAAGCCACCGGCGTGAGTGCATCAACGGCCAAAGAGAATCGAACCTTTCTCAAAGCGCTGGGCAGCCTCCGTCCTTATCCCCAACCCACAACCCCGAGTAGTTCCCACCCGGGAAGTACAAATGGCGACCTGCTGCAGCTCATTAGCTCTCCCCCTAAAATTAGCAACCTGGTGGAATTCAGGAGGACTCTGTGTGTCCTCTCCGGAGCTCTGCCCGGTCCCTTCCCGACACACAGCCGCGTGTGTCGTGACCTTCACGGGATGCACTTAGAGGGAGCGGTCCACCTCAGGACAGAGGACGGCGAGGCCAGCCCTCCACCACTCACGTAGGAGGCAGTGACGCCGTCACGCTGACGTCGTGGTCTAGCCAGGTGGCTGAAAACACGCTCCGCCTCTCCTGACCTCTCGTTGCCCTTTATGCCCCTGCAGCCGTGCGAGTTCCACGGCAAGACCGCCCTGCCAGTCAGCCCTCAGCGACAACACGTGTCGTCTAGGCGCTCACGGAGCTGATACCTTTCCACTGGTCCGCCACGCTGATGTAGGACAGGAGCCCCCCGAGCCCCAGAAACGCCAGCATGAGGAGAATCACGTTCCGCTGTAACCGTGACAGCTGCTTCCATTTCTGAGGGGGAGACAGAGTGACACTGTTTACTGGAAAGCACAGGCCTGGAAAGCTCTTCGACTGTGACCACCTCGGTGAGGACAGCAATTCAGAAGGTCCCGTGTGAAGCCCTGTTGTTTATGAGCTGGGGGAAGTTCCCTCCTCGCGGGGGTCACAGGGGGGCCCGCGCCCCAGGTGGCTAGCTAACGCACCGGTACACGTAAGACGAGAACAGACATGGACGCCACTTCTGTCCAGTCCGTGGGCAGCGGAGAGAGACCCCGCCATGCGCGTGTTCGGGCTCAGGCCCCGGCTGGGACTGGGTCTGTCCAGATGCCCTGTGGGGACGCCCCGTGGGTTAAATGGGCGGTGCTCGTGCTCATGGCAGCTGTGAAGAAGTTATACTGGGGAACCTCTGGTGTGTCAATACAGGGTCTTAGGAAGCACCTGTCTGGCATTTTCTTTCTCAGGCCCCCTTGAAGTCAAGGTCAGATGAAGGCAGGCCACAGAACTTCACCTCTTATAAATTTCCCCATCGCTGGGATTTTGTGCGTTAAGGTGAAGATGCGTGCAGTTGAGTCAGGGTGCATCTGTCCTCTCTTTCTGTCAGGAGGAGCCAGGGAACCATCTGTCCTGACAGTGGCCATGCAGCATTAAGACAGGACCACCTGCTAAATATAACACAGGCGCTGTCGGAAGGAAAACCATGGCTGCTCTTGTAATAGGTCTTGAAGCCAAGAACCTCGGTCCTGGATCAGGCCATGACTCTCAGTCCCAGGATCCAGTTGGGTCTGCTCTGGAGGATTAGGGAGCCCCTCCCCACTGCACCCCACCCCTTTTGATCCTGGTCACAGGTCCTTATTTTCTCTGTAGTATTTGCAGAGGTTTAAGAAGAAAGTTCTGTGATAGTTAACATGTTTCCTCGGTCAGCTAAGAGGAAATCGAGGACTGTGGGGTTTCCCGTGACAGCTCTGATTTGTGGATTTAGATGGTTTATCAGGCTTGTAAAGCAGTGGTGCCATTGGTGACTCTTCTAGGGCCAGAGACAAGTTCTTAACCCCATTTTCCAGTTGCTTTATTTCTGCTATGGAAACTGTAGCTCAGAGTATGGGTAAAGAGGGAACCAGTCATCCTTGCTGGAAGTTTTCTTAATAGCCTATATTCGTGTTGTTTTAGAAATTTCTGGCTATTCTTTTTTTTTTAAGGAAATGTGATTTCTTGGAGAGATAGGCATTTTAAAAATATGGAAATCTCTACCAAGTATTCTGAATACACAGGGCGTTACTGTGCAGTAGGTAGGTATAACCCGATGTCTATATAATGAGTATACTAGTGGAATACAGAGTGCATTTGAAGTAAAAGTATCATTTATTGGGATAGGAATGAGTACATTTTGTGCCCCTCGATATGTCCAAGTTCCTTGAGTGGAATGAAACACTTCCTGCAAAGCAGTGTGAAAACAAACTGACTATGGTCATTGTCCCCAGGGCACTCCTGATCCCCTAGGTCCACAGTGACCTCGGCAGACACATTTTATTGAAGTGAGGTCAAAGTCCAATTTCCGTGATTTAAATTTGGGACCATCAATGATGTGAAGAAAACTTAAGGAGCAGAAGGGGCCTGTTGTAGGAGAAACACTGCCTGTGGGGTAGGGGTGGGGTTGGGGAGGGGCGCTGGGTGGTTGGGGCAGCTGGACCCCAGTAGGTTCCCAGGGGGCCCTCACTGTCACCGGTCACCGTACCGAGTGAAAATCCCAAGACTCGTTCCTTGGGAAGGACAGCAGCCGATGATGTTCCCCGCAGGATGTCACTCACAGAACCCTGCCTCAGACAAGGTTTCTCAGGGACTGTGCTATGATAAGATCAGGCCAATTCACGGTCTCGTCTAACACAGACAGGGTCACCCGGCCCCCCGAAAGGGACCTCAGTCATGCACTTACCCCTGCGTCCTGCCAGTGTCCAGTCTAGAACACAGTCTTCCCCCAAATCACCCAAGCGAAGTTCAAGTCCTGTAATAGTTCTTCCTGACACCCTCGTCCTGAGACACCTGCAGGCCCCCAGGTGCCACGCAGAGTAAGAAACCCACTTGTTAAGTGCAGTTGTGTTTGGCTGAAGGGCAGTGACAGAACCGGAGGCTCACTGCCTTGGACATGGGACCCTCAACTCGGTACTGGGGGGCACACCTGAGACCCCTGGTGCTTCTGTCTGCCCGCGGTACCACCTGCCCATGGCTGGGGAGCAAGATCACGTTGCATGCAGTTGTGGTGTTTCACTGACACCCTCAGCATTGTGTGTGTGTGTGTGTGTGTGTGTGTGTGTGTGTGTGTGTGTGTGTGTCTAGGAATAAGACTTCTGGGGTTGTGGTTGCAGGATTAGAGTTGTATTTTAACTTGGTGAAACTGTTTTCTGGCTCCAAACATCTGATTATCTAATGTTTTGTCTGTCTGATTTCTTACGTGTCGCATGTTGTTTGTCAGCCTGTCCTCAAGCTGACCTCCAGAGCCTGGACACTCGCAAGGTTTCTTCTCAGAACAGTTCTTTGCCCAAGTCACCATCTCAAAACCTTCCAGAGACTTCTTACTCCACTTTGGCTGTGTGTTCCTGAAAGCTGCTTTTCTTTTAGCTTCTTCTGTGGGAATCAGGTCTTGTCTGATCACTGATAAGTGACCAAAAAAACCCCAGAAAATGACCCACTGTTATGATCTACTTTATCTTCATTCAGTTATCTCTGACTTCCACGGTCTGCTAACAATTAAAGAAAAACAAGACTCTCTTCCTTTTCATAAAACTCTGTGGTTCTAACTTCCTGTCTCCCTGCCTTAAATACCCTCCGTCTTCACACAGAAGCCAGGATGTGCACGTGGCTGCCCGGGGCTGCTCGGGCTGGGGCTGGGTTGCAGCCCTTTTTCCTTTCCCCAAATAAAATCCTTTTTGATGACGGAAATCTAGTGGATATCATTGTTCAGCTGACACATCCCACACACACAGCTCTGCGGGTAGTTCCAGAGATGCCCTTGTGCATCCCTCCCTGCACCATCGGTTACCAGGCAACGGGTGGAGTTCCAAAGATGCAAGTGCAGGGGCGTCACCAGGCTGTCAGAGCTGAGTGCAGGAGCCCACCCTGGAGAGCTGGTTCGGGGGCAGATTCTGGGCCTGACCCACCAAATTGTCACAGGCTCCCCTCAGGCCCTGGTAGAGCTGGCAGCAAGGACCCTAAACTCCTCAAATCTTCCTGTGCAGACAAGCCATCTTCTTAAAATGCAGATTCTGACTCCAGGGGTCTGGGGCAAGGCCTGAGAGGTTCTCAAGTTCCTACATAGCCCCAGCGGGTGCTGCTAGTACTGCTGGTTCACCAGGCTGGTTCACCAGGGACCCCAGGGGTCGATTAGGAGATCTCGTAGCCAAAGAATAAGCCCTTGAGAAAGAGAAGAGATACACAGAAGGGAGGAAACTACCAGCCTAACAGAAGAAATTCTGTAGCAGAAAACTTTCCAGTTCTAAGCCAGGCAGGATGGATGAACAAAACCCACAGCTAGATACACCCTTGTGAAGTTTCAGAATTTCGTGGGCCAATGAAGGTCTCAAAAGAATCCCGAGGGGAAAATAGGTCAGCCAGAGGATCAATGGTCCGGTTAGCATCAGGCTGCTCATTGGTCACCCTGATGTTAGGAAGCAAAGAAGCACCTTTCAAACCCTGAGGAGGAATAATGGGACTCCTTGTCCCTGCTCACATTTTAGTCTTTAACGTGATCTCATCTGATATTAGCATAGCCACTCCAGCTCTCTTATGGTTGCATGGTATATAGTTTTCCAATATAGCAATTAAACATATATGCACTTGTTGACTGAAACATAATATCAACCAGGTATTTCATTGATATTTCAAAAGGATTTATTTGGGAAAATGAAAAGGTTGCACCCCAGCACATGCTGACATGGTGAGCTATGTGCATACTCTGGGCTGCGTGCCAAGATGGATAGATATTTAAATAAGAGAAAAGGAAGTTAATGGAAGGGGAGGTTAGAATTTTAGAGCTTTATTATAAACATGCAGTTCTTTCTACGCGATTATGTAGAGCACGAGAACTTCCATAAGCCCTAGCTTCTCCCACAGACCCTCCCAACTGGTTATGTTTCCTTAAAGTTCGAGTTCGTCTTTATCACACATAACAACACATGAAGCAAAAACTTACAGAAGTGAAGACAGAAACAGACAATTCAAATTCTCAGTAACAGATAGAACAAGTAGGCAGAATATCAGCAAGGGTTAAGGAGACGTGAACGGCACTAGCAACCAATGTGACCTAACTGGCGTCTACAGGACACTTTACCCAGCAGCAGCAGGTTGTAAGTTCTGCTCAAGAGTATAGAGGACGTTTTCCAGTACAGACCATATCCTGGGCCATAAAACAAATTCACATAAAGTTAAAATGTTTGAAGTCATGCAACATATTTTAACCACATGGAGGTAATATAGAAATAAAAAGAAATATTTTTTAAAATCCATCAATGTTTGAGAAACTAAAACAACACATTTCTAAATGAACCAGAGGGCAAAGAAGAAACCATAAAGGAAATTAGAAAATATTTTGAACTGAATGGAAAAAAATTGTCAAAATTTACAGGATGCAGCTAAAGCAGAATTTAGAGGGAAATATATAACTATAGATGTTTATATTAGAAGAGATGAAAGATCTTGAAATTTAAAACATAAGTTTCTGGGTGGCTGGATGGCTCAGTTTGTTAGAGCTCATGCTCTTAACAGCAAGGTTGTCGGTTCAACTCCCACATAGGATAGTGGGCTGCAACCCCCGCAACGAAGATTGAACATGGCACACAGCGATTGGACTTGGAGCTGAGCTGCACCCTCCACAACTAAGACTGAAGGACAACAACTTGACTTGGAGCTGATGGGTCCTGGAAAAAACACGTTCCCCAATAAAGTTTTTTAAAAAACATATCTGATAAAAGATTTTTGTCCAGAATATATAAAAACCCTTACAACACAATAGTAAGAAGATAATTAACCCAATTAAAATGAGCAACAGATTTTAATAGACATATCTCCAAAAAAAATCCAAAAACTACATAGGGCCAATAAACACATGAAGAGTCTCAACTTAATTAGTCATCAGGGAAATGCTAATTAAAACCACAATGAGATTCATCTGTGTTTATTAGTACATGCTGCCCAACAACAGAATACACAATTTTTTCTAGTGCACACAGAACATTCACCAAGAAAAACCACATTGTGGACCATAAAACAAACCCCAGTGTATTTAAAATCCACAACGGATATTTTCTGACCATATCGAAGTTAAAGTAAAAATCAATAGCAGAAATATATCTGGAAATTCTCCAAAACATTTGGAAATTAAACAACACTTCTAACTAACCCATAAGTCAAAGAAGAAATCACAAGGGAAAATAGAAAACATGTTTAACAGAATGAAAATAAAAACACAGCATGTCAGAATCTGTGGGATTGACAGCAATAATGCTTAGTGGGGGCTTTGTAAGAAAATTGAAATCTCAAAGCCTACTTTAAAAAAACCCATGGACCCCACGTTTCCATCCTCAGTAAGCAGGATCATTACCATCCTCTGCCGCTCAGGACAAAAACTTTGGCGTCATTCTCGACTCCTCACATTCCTTGTCCCGTGTCTTGTCACCTCTCCTGCCTGGCACATGGGTTATCCCAGTAACTTCCGCGTGGGTCACTCCCCTGTCTCCCTTGGCATAGTGTCCAGGTGATCAGTTGTCTGGTCAAATCCCTCTGATGGTGTCCCGCCACACTTAAATAAAGCTGAAGCCCTCACTGTGGCCTGCCTGACCCGACAGGATCCGGCCTGTGGCCTCTCTGCCCTCCTCCCCTCACTGCCCGCTGTTCCTGCACACCTACTCCTCTCTGCCCGTCAGCGTCCTCCTCTCAAACGAGCTTCCTCTTGAGAGAGCCAAGATGGCGGAGCCCATAAACACTGTGCCTGCGTCCTTCTGTGAACACATGAAAATTTCAACTAAATTATAGAACTATCAACCTGGAAAACCATCTGAAGTCTAGGCAAACAGAAGTCCAATAATTAAGGCTATAAAGAAGAAGGCTTGACAAGACTGGTAAGAGGGGCAGAGATGTGGAACTGGCTAACCCCAAACCTCCCAGAGGGATACCTCGGCCACGGCAGTTCCTGCTGGAAGAGCAAGGGACCCCAACTCACCCCCAGTACCAGGCTCCCCAACCTGGAGTACTGGTGCTAGGAAGAGGAGCCTCCACAAAAACTGTCTGTGAAAAACAGTGGGGATTCTGACCATCTGGATGGGACAGAAGGCAGCAGGAAACCCAGGCATCCTCTTAAACGGCCCATGCACAGACTCACTCACTTGCAGGCACCCACCTTGGGCTCCAGCGGTGGGACAGTAACTCAGGGGGCAGAGGGCTGTCAGAGACATATGGTGGTCAGACTGAGGCATGTGGCTTTGAGATGAAGGCTGGAGGACAGTCAGCATTTTCACTGCGAGGACTCTTCCTCCCATGCAAATGGCAGGCGGGCGCCATCTTTCCTGTGTTGAGCCCGCCCCCTATGCTTATGGCCAAATCTGAGTCTGATTGGCCTGGTGAGCTCTACT